ATATATAAAAGAAAGAACAGTAAGATATATAATCCAGTGTTTTAAATTCGAGCTCTCAGCTTCCATTTTTGAAACATAGTTAGAACTGTGTCGCGAAAAAAAACATATTTATATCAATTAATTTATATATATATATATATATATATATATATATATATATATATATATATATATATATAGCCAGGGGTAACAGAAAATTATCAAACTGTTAAAGCTTTGAACCGTTGTATCATAGAAATGATTAAAGATATCTTACTGGAATTCACTGAGGTTTCTATAACACTATTGGACTCTACTTTGAACAATAAGAATGTATTTAAGACCATGTTGAAATGATGATCCCTCTTGCTGTTGGGATCTTCTGATCCAGTTTTCCTCAATACTGTTCCTTTTTTAAAAACTTATTCACCGTTCTTTTGATGGTTCTTGAATAGACTTTGAAGTTGGAAGCCAGAATATGAATGTTGTTACTATTACTGAAGGTCTGAATGAACTTTATTCACTCGCCATTCCTCACCTGGGTAAACAGTGGGACTGACACAAAAGAATTTTATCCTGTTCTTTTTTTTATTTTAAATGAATGACTCAAAGCATTTTTCAGTGATTCTTACGTCAAATGGTTTCAAGATGGGTAATCGTCTTATCTGAAAACCTGGAAAAAAGAAACACAATTAGTGTATTTTATTTTAGATATAAATCATTTTGTAAGATAGATAATTATGAAGTTTGATTTGAAGAATTTTTCTGTTACACCAGGTGTATAATTTCCATAGTATTGTGTAAATACATTGGTTATATGAAAGCTAAATATTTATGAACTGAATATACATAGCATTTACATATGTCACCTACATTAGCCTCAGGTATATCAAATACTTAGAACCTAAGTGCAAACGTGTTATTTACCTATTATTCTACATAAAGTATTTCTAGGTGCATTAAATGCTTAAGAACTAAGTAGGTTCGTAACTATGACAACCATTTGAATACATACAGTGTTAATATCCAAGATCCTACCATGCTGGTACGGCCGTCAAAAAAAAAAAAAAATCAAGGACATATATCTACGAAGGACTATAACTTTAATTATGCTATAAAATGCTCATTTAAAATTTTTAAATACCATGGTTTTCAAAACTATTAATTTCAATAAAAAAACAACAACAATAAAACTGCATAATTTTCACGTTTATCGCTAGTTAATGTTACTTACTTTTTTTTAATCATTTCATCCGAAGAAGGGCAATAAAGCCACTAGGATGCAAAGGGTTACTGAGTGTTAGAGAATATGAGAAGGAAAAACTACTTATTAAGGAGAGAGAATAATAAAAGATCGAGTATTAAGAAGTCAGAAGATAAATAACGATTCAAATTTGAATTTAGATTTTCTAAGTTGACTGGGTAGTATGGAGCCGGTAGAGAGGCCCACAAGTGAGAAGTGCGAGAGAAGAAACTGTTAGCATAGAACTTACGGCTGCATCTAGCCATTTCAATTGTAAAAAGATGAAGTCTCGCCGCCAATCTCGTACTGCGCTTAAATTCATGAAGTCTCGGTACGATAGCGGAAAGCTCGTAAGAACAATTACTATATTTGCTGAAAAGGTACAGGGAAGCTACGTCAGAGCTTTACAAAAAGGAAATGAAGCCGAGATGTTAGCTTAAGACCAATAATATTGCAGATTGTTCTTTGAATTTCATCAAGAATCTCTAAAATTTTATATAGGAATAAAGTGTCGCTGTCGACACTGGAGTTTGAACACGGATCGATCCCATTATTAAATTAAATGAATCACACGACAATGAGAGAAACGCATGAGTAAGTAGTAGCATGGCGTCTAATTGATCACCATTTCTATTCTATCCTCTTTTACTCTTCGAATCACTATTTCTACTCCATTCTCTATTACATTTCTCTATTCTATACATTATACTATTCTCTATTCGGATCACTATACGGATTATTATTCGGTGGCTACTATTCGAGTTGGTATTACCGAGCGAGTACTATTAATGCGAGTGTTATTCGAAGTCGTCTGGCATCAGTTTTGTTCAACGGCACTACTATAGTTGCGATTACAAAGTCTCTAATACAACGAGCATTACGAAAGTGACAACGAGTATACGTTGACATTACAAAAGTGGCAACGAGTGTTCGTTGACATCACAAAAATATATATGCCAGGAGCACCGGAGAGATATGGTGGTAATATTCAAAACAAGTACGAATGGTAGATTCTTTCTTCTTCATTCCTTTCTAGTTCTTATATTTATTTACCTTTTTCCTTCCATTCTTTCTTCTATTCGTTTTTTTTCTCTTTAGTTTGATTTCTTTTTTCCCCTTCATATTTTATTCTTTTCTTTCTTCTTTCACACAAGATCCGTCTTTTTTTTCTCTCTCTCTCTTGCTATTTTTTTTTTTTTTTTTTTTTTACAATTTGCTTTTCTTTTTCCGTTAAGATTTTCTTTTCACATGAGGCTGGATTCAATTCTCTGTATGTGCCGATCAATTATCGATCCGTCACACATCTCTTGCATTCCATTACGTGGTTTATTTCTAAGCGTTTCCTGAATTGCATCTATTTATTTATTTAAGGCTTGTCGCGTGAAAACAGCGGGTGACACTGATCTCTGTGCTTGTTTTTACTGAGTTGGCCATTTTCGTTGCTTATCCGTTTTTCTTCTGTTCTCTTGGGATCTCCGAGTCTTATTTGGATTGTGGCTAGAATTCCGAGAAAAAACAAAATGGCGTGCAGAAAAACTAATCTACAGCAAGCAAGAAAAGTGTAATAGAAGGAAATCGAGCAGGCAATAAAGAAGGTTGGTATAAAAGAAACAAAGAATAAAAATCGGTATGTAGGCAAGCGGGAATGAAAGAATGAAAGCTGGCAGAAGGTAGATAGAAATTAAGGCAGGCAGAAAAAAAGGATGGAATGAATAATGGAAGGAAGGAAAATTAGGCAGATAAGAAGGAAGAAATGAATGAAAGTTGGTAGCAGGAATGAATGAATGAAATTAGATGAGGAAGGAAAGAAGAAAAGAAAGGAAGGAAACAGGTAAGAAGGCAAAGAGAAAGGAAAGAACCAAGGAAAGATGTTGGGTAGTTAGACAAAAGGAAAGAAAACTGCAAGGAAGGAAGGAAAGGATGAAAGCAAGTAGCAAGGAAATAATGAAGAAAACTGGCCAGACAGTAAGGAAAGAAGATTGATAGTCGGCAATGACGTATATAGGAAAGAAAGGAGGGAGGGAGGAAGGAAAGAAGGCAAGAAAGGAAAGAAGGAAGGAAGGAAGGAAGGAAGGAAGGAAAGGATGGAGAGAGGCAAAGAAAGAAGGACGGCAATGAATGAAGGAAGGAACACAAAGAATGAAGTAAGGGAGGAAGGAATGAAGGAAGAAAGGAAAGAAGCAAGGAAGAAAGAAGAGGGGCAAGGAAGGAAGGAAGGAAGGAAGAAAGGAAGGAAGGAAGGAAGGAGGTAAAGAAAGAAGGAAGGCAATGAAGGAAGGAACAAAAGGAAGGAAGGAAGGGAGGAACGAACGAAGGAAGAAAGGAAAGAAGCAAGGAAGAAAGAAGGGAAGGAAGGAAGGAAGGAAAGGATGGAGAGAGGCAAAGAAAGAAGGACGGCAATGAATGAAGGAAGGAACACAAAGAATGAAGTAAGGGAGGAAGGAACGAAGGAAGGAAAAGAAAGAAAGGAAAGAAGCAAGGAAGAAAGAAGAGGGGCAAGGAAGGAACGAAGGGAGGAAGGAAAGAAGGAAGGAAGGAAGGAGAGAGGTAAAAAAAGAAGGAACGCAATTAAGGAAGGAACACAAGGAAGGAAGGAAGCAAAGAAAGAATGGAGGGAGGGACGAAGCAAGGAAGGAAAGGAAGGAAGCAAGGAAGAAATAGGTGGCGGCAAGGAAGGAAGGAACGCAAGGAAGTAAGGGAAGGAGATAGGGAGTAAAATAGGCAGGCAGCAAAGTGGGGAGGAAAGTTGTTTCATGTGCAAGTAGGAAGGAACAAAGAAAGGAACTGAAAAGAACTGAAAGACGCACATTTAAGGATAAAGAAAGAAAATCAAATGAGCAGGTCTGGAAAAAAAAACCTAGGAAATCCAAGATCAAGGAAGATATCCGAAAACAGATAGCCTGAATGGAAGGAAGGATGGAAGGAAGGAAGGAAGCACCTAAGAAGGGAAACAGGAAGAAAGGAAGTTGAGAAGGAAGGAGAGTGGCTAGGTAGGAAAGTTGAAAGGAAGGAAGGGAAGGATGAAATTAAGTAGGCAAGAAGAAAGGAAAAAATGAAGAAAACTGGCCAGACAGTAAGGAAAGTTGATTAATAGTCGCGCATGACGTAGATAGGAAGGAAGGGAGAGAGAGAAAAGGAGGGAGGGAGGCAAAGGAAGGAAGGAAGGGAGGGAGCTAAGGAGGAAGAAATGTAGGAGGGAAGACAAAAAGGAAGGAAGGCAAGGAAGGAAGGGAGCAAGGAAGAAAGATGGGGCAAAGAAGGAAGGATGGAAGGAAGGAATGAAGGACGTAATGCAAGGAAATAAGGAATGCAAGGAAGGAAGGAAAAGTGAGGAGGAGTAAAATATGCAGACAGGAAAGTTTGATATCCAAGTAGGAAGGAGCAAAGAAGGGAAGGAAAAAGAAGAAATAACTGAAAGAAGAACGATCAAGGATAAAGGAACAAAAAAAAACAAGTGTGCAGCCTCCGAAAAAAGCTAGGAATTCCAAGATCAAGGAAAATATCCAAAGACAGATAGCCTGAAAGGATGGAAGGAAGTTAGGAAAGAAAGAATTTGGGTGCTTAAAGAAAAGGAAGGAGAGTGGCTAGGAAGGAAAGCTGCTAGGAAGGAAGGGAAGGATAAAAGTATGTAGGCAAAAAAGGAAGGAAATAATGAAGAAAACTGGCCAGACAGTAAGGAAAGTAGATTGAGAGTCGCGCATGACGTAGATAGGAAGGAAGGGGGAGAGAAAAGGAAGGAGGTTCGCAAGGAAAGAAGGAAGGCAATGAAGGCAGGAAGTCAAGGAAGGAGGGAAGGAAAGGATGGAGAGAGGCAAAGAAAGAAGGACAGCAATGAATGAAGGAAGGAACACAAAGAATGAAGTAAGGGAGGAAGGAACGAAAGAAAGGAAGGAAGTAAAGGAAGAAAGGAAAGAAGCAAGGAAGAAAGAAGAGGGGCAAGTAAGGAAGGAAGGAGAGGGGTAAAGAAAGAAGGAAGACAATGAAGGAAGGAACAAAAGGAAAGAAGGAAGGGAGGAATGAACGAAGGAAGGAAGGAAAGAAGCAAGGAAGAAAGAAGAGGGGCAAGGAAGGAACGAAGGGAGGAAGGAATAAAGGAAGAAAGGAAAGAAAGAAAGGAAAGGAAGAAAGGAAAAAAGAAGAGGGGGCAAGGAAGGAAGGAAGGAAGGAAGGAAGGAAGGAAGGAAGGAAGGAGAGAGGTAAAGAAAGAAGGAACGCAATGAAGGAAGGAACACAAGGAAGGGAGGAAGGAAGCAAAGAAAGAATGGAGGGAGGGACTAAGCAAGGAAGGAAAGGAAGGAAGCAAGGAAGAAAGAGGTGGGGGCAAGGAAGGAAGGAACGCAAGGAAGTAAGGGAAGGAGATAGGGAGTAAAATAGGCAGACAGCAAAGTGGGAAGGAAAGTTGTTTCATGTGCAAGTAGGAAGGAACAAAGAAAGGAAGAAGAACTGAAAGAAGAACATTTAAAGATAAAGAAA